GCCCGAGGGGTGGACCTCGTCGGAGGAGGCCAGACGGACACTGTGTGCCTGGAGAAAGTGAGGAGCATTGGAGGGCCAGACGGAGTTTCTAAAGCCCTGTCTGACCATGTCACTCCCCGGCTCAGTCCCCTCCCAGAGCTCCCCATTGTCTGCAGACCAATCCTGCCTTCTCATGAGCTTCTGTCTCTGGCCCAGCCAGCATGTTAACCCTCAGCCTTCCATGGGGAGTACTTACTCCCTCCACACTCAGATTCCCCTTCTAGAAATGCAGGGCTGTGGGCCAGCATAGTGTGTCGCTTTCTGTTTTGTCTTGTTTTATTTTGTTGAAAGTCTCTTCCAGTTCCAGGCAGGTCCTCGTGAAAGTGGCCCATGATGCCAGTGCTGACTGTGCCAAGAGGACGGCCAGGGCCAGCAGGCCACGAGAGGACGTACTCCCACGTCCCAGGGCTCTGCCGCCCTTCGCACGTGACTGTGAACCCCTCTGTTCCCCAGCTGCCGCATTGTACACGGGGATTCTTCATGGGTTGGTTGGGGGATAAACGAAATAACAGGAGTGAAGCGAAGCACCCAGCACAGGCCTGGCACATGGATGACTCCCTGAGTTACAGTCCCTAAAGAACGACGTTTACACACCTGCTCCTTACAGGTTTGTTCACTGGAGTACAGTCTAGGCATGGCTTTATTCACCGAGGGCATCCGGGCACAGTCACCCATCAGGTGTGTAGGGAGAGAGGGCAGACCCCTGCGGAACAGTTTGACATCACACTGAGTACACCCCTGGGCCCCCGAAAGCATCCTGAGTGACAAGAACACCGGGTCGTTGTAATTTGCTCTAATGAACTTAACACTGGTGAGTTTCCAGAGAGCTTGCCCTGTACCAGGCGCTATCCTAAGTGCTTTACTTGGAGGAACTTACGTAATCGCTCACACCCTGCGACATCCTACTATTGCCATTTCGTAGATGGGGAAAACTGCGGCATAGAGCACTGAGGTCACTTGCCCAAGGTCACACAGAGATAAGTGCCGCAGCAGGGACTCAAACCCAGGAAGCTGGAGTCAGCCTGCCCGCCCCACCTCTTCTACATGGCGCCGCCCGCTTGTGCCTGTGCCTACCACCCCTGCCTCCCATGTCCGCCCTGGGCAGTTGGAAAGGCCCCCGGAAGCTGTGACACTGTTGTGGGGATGGCTGCACCCCTGTGAGTGCTGGGGGTTGTAGCCTCACAGCTGTCCCATCCCAGCAGCTGAGCTCTGCCCCCCTCAGAGTGTCCCCCACCTGCACGGCTCTGCCCTCTGTCCACTGTCCCATCCACTCCGCCTACCTCAGGGCAGCCCCACTGAGACTTGGAAGTGGCATGTCTCCAGGCTTGAGCGGCCGGCTCCTGCCCCCAAGCCCGGGCTCCGGCAGTCTGCGAGGAGAGCAGGGGTGCCCCCCTGACTTAGAGCTGTCTTCCCCGTAAATCAGAGGCCTGTCCCCGGCTGACTGCTGGCCTAGTGGACTGAAAGGCGGAAGTGGCCTCCTGATTATAAATGTCCCTGTCATGACAGGGCTTTCAGCAGCTCAGTCTCAGCCCAGGAGATGGTCTAATGATGTCTGGAAATGTCAGACCTCGGCTCTGCCTGCAGGCAGAGCAGCCCCGGGCAGAACAGACTGCCATCCCTCGTCCTCTGAAAACGCAGAGAAGTTGCCTGCACTGGGTCTCTGTTTGGGAGGCCTGAGAGGAGTGCTGGCCTGGCTGGGCTATGCCTGGCCCAGAAGCATCTCCTGGGTCTGCAGCACCCCCTGCAAGCCTCCATGCTGCTCTGAAGGCAGCCACATGTCTTACCAGAAACCTTCCAGACAAAAATTAGGGTAGGGCTGTGGGCCAGAGAACAACTGGGTGTGCCAGAGAAGACCCAGTGTGACTCATGCCCTTTGACCCAGGAAATGGCCTAAGAGAAGGAAAGGCTGTGTGAGGAAGGGGGCAGGACACAGACGCAGGGCTGAGAGCCCTCCCACACGGCAAGGGCAGGGCACAGTCACACCTGCGAGCCCCCGCCCTGGGCTGCAGCCCCGCCCCGCCCCCCACATTTCCTGGGACCCTATGCAAATCCCTCTGGGCTGGGCCCCTGAGCAAAAGCTGCTGGCCCTTATTCCAGGTCTCTGAGAGCCCTTCAAGATCTGCAGGTTTAGAACACATTTTTGGCTAATCCGGGAAGGACCCATCTTTTCAGAAAGTTGGAGTTTTGTGTTAAATACCTTTCATTTATTGCAAAATAAATGTTTTTGCAATAGTTTTATAGAAAGTTGAGAAAATTAAAAAAAAAACCACGGAAGATGATTAAACTACCCATTTTCCACCATCTGGAGGTAACCATGAGTAACATTTTGGAGCACTTCCTTCCAGGCTTTTTTCCCCTCATTTTTGATAGACTCGGGCAGGCACACACATAAACACGCTCTTAACAAAAGCTGCTGTTCTTTGAGCGCTTACTGTAGGACATCCCTGTTTGGCTTTTCATGCACAGTATTTCATTTTACCCTCGTAACAGCCTTGTGAGGAAGAGATGATTCTTCACGTTTTACACGTGAGGGGGAAAGCTTGCAAGATTTGAGCAGGGGCAGGACACGATCAGATTTTACATTTCTGAAAGCTCACCCGTGACAGTGTGCAGAAGGGCCCGGAGGCTAGGCAAGAGGCTGGTGGCTGGATCGGTGGTCCTGTGTGGACCTGGGCCAGGGCCCACAGGTGCACCTTCTCTTCCTCCAGGCCTGGCTCCAGGCGCCTGCCCACTGCAGGGGGCAGGGAGCGCGCACCTCTCTTCTTGTTGAAGGGCCCAGATGCACCTCACACATCGCTCACAAATGACTCAAGTCCAGACTCTTCCCTTTTCTCTGTCTGAATGTATATATGAGGGTATAATCTTTTTTTCTGATGCATTTGAGGATAAATTACATATTTCCTTGACCTCTACCCTAAATACTTGAGTGTGTCCTGAAAGTAGGAATATTCTCTTATATCACCGTATTCCATTATCAACTTCTGGAAGTTTAACATTGTGGTCGTACTTGAACCTACCTTTCATGTTCCAATTTATCCGATAATGCCCCGTGGAGAGTTTCCCCTCCAGTGTGGGATCCGGTCAAGGGTAAGATGTCTACTACCCTTTCCCGAAGGGCAGGAGCTGGATTGGGCGGAGTATTTGTGAAGGGGAGCCCAGGACCACTGCTTGTGTTTGCAGAGCTACTACGATGGGTGCGTAAGTCTCTGTGAGCTAGGGCCTCCGCGTCTGTTTGCTAGTGTGCCAGAGGGACCTGGAGGCCTCTGTCCGTTCCTGCGGCAGCTGTGGCTTGGAAGCCTTATGAAGCCAGATGGGAGACACCACTGCATCTTTGCTCAGTCTCAGCGGGGCACCGTCTTGGTGGTTTCTGCAGAGCTGGGAGTGGTGAGGGAAGGAGAGGTGGTGGGTATTCCTTGAGTCTGTCCTATTCCTGAAAGATCTTTTACAAAGACCCTGAGACCATCGATGCTGCCGGTTCTTGTACTACACCTTATGCCGCCGCCACCTTGCGCAGGGCCTGTCCCTGTGTATGTCGTGGATGTTGGCCGGTTTTCTTCTCAGCTGTCTCTTCCTCATAGATGGAAAACTGGGTTGCAGAGCCTTCGGGGGGTGGGGCAGGGGGACTTAAGCACCTGGGGTGGGATCGTGGATGTGGACGAAGCCTGTGTTGCCAGGCAGGGGGCCTGGGTCCTGGCGCCTGTTCCGCCAAGCCATGCAGTGCGATTTATGAAAGAGAGTGCTGGTCACTGCCAGCTCTGGGTTTCTATGACTGAACCCGTGTGGCAGTCCCACGACCTAGGAAACCCAGGTCTGTGTGCAGAGCTGGAAGTCTCCGCTTGGGGCATCCGTCTTCCCAGCACCCACACAGCAATTCTCAGCAGGCCAAGAGGGAGGGCAAGGAGGTGCTCGCTTTTTCTTTTTAATCGAAATACAATTCACATACCACGAAATTCACCATTTTAAAAAATTGTATGATTCAGTAGGTTTTTAATATAGTCACATGCTTGTACAAACATCACAAAATCATTATGCAAAATACTTTCATCACTGCACAAAGAAACAGCATACCCATCAGCCGTTACTTCCTCTCGCCCTGGGTCCTGCGCAACTACTAATCTGCTTTCAGTCGCTATGGATTGACCTGTTCTGGAATTTTCATAGGTATTATCCAGGGTTCTGAGTATCGGGTACCAAAAGATGTATTAAGTTGCTCTTAACAGTGAAACCACAGCTGGTCATTTATGTGGAATCCTGCAATATGTGGCTTTTGGGGTCTTTTTTCGCTTAGCGTGTTTTCAAGATTTGTCCATGTCAAAGAGCATGTTGGTTTTCGTTCCTTTTTTTTTTTTTTTCGGCCAAATAATATTCCATGGTGTGAATATACCACATTCTGTGTACTCATTCGTCCGTTGATGGACATTTGGGTTGTTTCCACCTTTTGGCTATTATGAATAGTGCCGCTACAAACATTGGCAGATGAGCTTTTTGTAGGCCTGTGTTTTCATTTTTCTTGGGGATCTACCTCGGGGTGCAATGGCTAGGTCACGTGGTAACTGTGTTTAGCCTAGTAGGGAGCGCCTGACTGTTTTCCAAACCAGCTGCACCGTGTTTGCATTCCCACCAGCGGCGTCTGAGGGGAAATTGCCTTTGACTGAAAACCTGCTATGCGCTAGGCACTGTGCTAGACCCTTTCCACACCTCATCTCCTGAGATCTTCACATGAACCCCAGGAAATACCTATTATTGCCTCCATTTTACTGAGGAAGACACTGAGGCCCGGAGAAGTGGCGTGAGTCCCCCAGCATCACCAAGAGAACAGTGGTAGGGCCTAGATTGACACCCTGTCTGTCCCTTACGTTTTCCTGCCTACTGCGTGATTGCTGCCTGCCGAGTGACCGTCCCCCATGCTTATGTGGGATTAGCCCCTCTTCTCCCCAACATTCCTGGGCACTGTTTTGCAGACGGGAAAATTGGACCCCCACTACCCAAGGGTCTGCGGGCACGGAGGGAACGTCTTAGACATCAAGTGGAATCCTTTTAATGATTTTGAGATCGCCTCCTGTTCTGAAGATACCACAGTGAGTGTCTGCGTGAGGCGGTTCCCTTTCCCGGGAGGAGCGGGCTGGGGGCATGGGGAGGTGGACTGATGGGTGTCTGTTCTTAGCTCGGATGCTCCTAACCCCCTGATCCTTCATGAGGTGAGGTCAGTGTGGGGGGAGGGCTCAGGGAGGTTGTGCTGGACAAAGTCTGGGCTCTGGGACTTGTCTGCATACCCAGCATACCCTCAGCACCTTATCCGGAGCCTCTGGCACTCATGGGGTTGCCGTCCTGGTTTTAAATCCTGGTGACCAGGAAATAAATATGTGTTGAATTGAAAGCAAAGTCTGCCTGAAAACCCTGTGTATCTCTGAGGGAAAGCGGGCATACAGTCACCCAGGGGCCCGAGAGCTCTGAACGACAACTGAGAACATCAAGTTTCTGCCATCCCCTCTGTGTCACCCCCTGCCCACCCCCAGCTCCATTTGTATGTCTCCGTTACTGGGAGCTGACTTTCTACTATGGAAGCTCCTTCCATCCTCGACAACGCTACTCTGAAAGGAAGTCCCAGCTCCTCTTCCCAGGCCCTTCCTGTGGAGTATAGGCCATGACCCCATTCAGCCTGGCCTTTTGGCCCTTTATCTTTCCTCTTTCAGGCCATCCAAGGGGGCCACTCCAAAGGAAAGACTTTGGCCCTACCCTGTCCTCCTCCAGAAACTGCACTGGCTCCCTAGTACTCTGATGATAGAGCACAAACTCTTGCTCCTGGCCTTTGAGGCTCTAGCCTGAGCCTTTGGGACTAGGAAGAGGTAGATGACTGTCCTTGGAGAGATAGCCTAGGCTGGGAGGTGGGTTTGATCTGACATCCAGCCTGGGAGTCAGGCCTGTGGCCCGCCCAGCTGCCCACAGTGTAGGCCATTAGGATGGCAAAGATTACCAGGAAGCAGATTTGGACACCTGGGCTCAACTCTGGCAATGCCCGCCCCTACTTGGGCTCGAAGACCTTGGCAAAGCCTCTGTCCCTCTGAGGGTTCCAGAGAGATGGATACAGAGAGCACTCCCCTGGCCCTTCTGCTGGGCACTGCCAGTTCTGTCGCTTAGGGTGGCCTGGGTACCAGGTGACCCTGGCTAACAGCTCCCCTTAACCCCGCTGTATCTCCCCTGAAAGATTAAGATCTGGGACATCCCCAAGCAGCTGCTGACAAAGAACCTCACAGCCTGCAAGAAGGAGCTAATGGGCCACACCCGCAGGGTGGGCCTGGTCGAGTGGCATCCCACGGCTGCCAACATCCTCTTCAGCTCTGGCTACGACTTCAAGGTGGGTCCATGCTCTCATTTCCTGGGGCCACCCTAACATGACCGCACTGGGCACTTGAGACAACAGAAATTTACCCTCGCATCCTTCTGGAGACCAGAAATCGAAAATCGAGTTGTCAGGAGGGCCGCGGTCTCTCGAAGACCCTAGAATGCTTCTTCCTGTGCCTCTTAGAACTTCCGGTGGCTCCGGGCATTCCCTGAGCTGCACCTGTGTCACTTTGGCCTGCCTCCAGCTTCGTGCAGGCTTCTCTGTGTTTCTGTGTGTCCTCTCATCTTTGGAGCAGGACACCTGTCAGCGGATGTAGTGTCTACCCCAGTCCATATGACCTCATCATAATTATTTACATCAGCGAAGACCCTGTTTCCTAATAAGGTCACATTCTGAGGCTCCAGTGGACATGAGTTTTTGCAGTGGGGGGGGGGACAATGTACAACCCCTTAGTCGTCCTGGAGGGGATGGGCTGGATCCTATCCAGAGAAGCTTCCCACTGCCCCATTGACAGCCAAGCTGGCAGTCTATGGGCCCTGGGGATGGGGAAAATTCATGGTAGAGAAGCCCTGGATTCTATTTCAACTCAGTCTCTGCCTTGCCGTAGGAACTAGGAAAGTCCCTTGTCTTCTCTAGGCCTCAGTTTCTCCTTTTGTACACGAATGGGGTCGGTGTGACCATAGCCGTGACTTTGAAACTCTTCCCTTCACAACATAGGGCTTTATGGAGGCACTTTGGGGACCTCGCTAATGGATCAGGGGTGGGATGGGAGTTGTTGACAGAGCCTCTGACCCCCTTCTGATCAGAAGTGTTCTTTCACCTGTGTATGTAGGCTGTGTCTGCAGGCCACCGTATATGGTTGTGCACGGAACTCTGCACACAGCTCCACGGGGTGCAGGTCACGTCACGGGCTATGGGAATGGATCTCCCTGGAGCCGTGCAACGCACAACCTCCGCAGCTAAACGTGGCAGCCCTCTATCTGTGTGAGGTGGAAACTGCTGCTAATAAGTGTGTGAAAGCCCCTGGACTAGCTCATCTCTGGGGTCCTCCCAGCGTGGATGGTTTGTCACTCCAAAGCAGATGGTGTTTTCTTTTCGCCGCCAGACAGCCTGACTCCCGCCTTCCCCTCCTGCCACGTGGCAGCTTCAGCCAGCAGATCCATCCTCCCACCCAAGGCTTCTTGGCCAGACTGCCATCTGTGGCTTCCCTCCTGGGGATACTGTGTTTCACTGCAGCCTGGCGGGCGTGCGACTGTGGGAGCCCGGGGCGGGGGTGGCCGCTGTGCTCAGAAACAGCTCATTGCGGTGCAGGTGATGGTCTGGAACCTGGACACAAAGGAGTCTGTAATCATGAGCCCCGTGAGGACGATTACCTGCCACCAAGGTGTGATCCTCTCCATGTCCTTCAACACCAATGGCAGCCTGCTGGCCACCACCTGTAAAGACCGCAAGCTTCGGATCCTCGACCCCCGGGCCGGGGCTGTCCTCCAGGTCTGTGCTGCGCTGGGGTCTGGCTTGGGGGCAGAGGAGCAAGGGGCGGTGAGGGCCTGCAGGAGGCTAGTAATGCTGTGGGCATTGTGGCCAAGCCTTCACATGTGCTATCTCTCTGTCCTCTTGGCCCTGCTGGGAGGTGGGATGTGTCACCTGCATTCTTTGGATGAGAAAACGGAGGCTGAGGAGAGGTCAGGTGATTTGCCCACCTTGAAAGCTGAGTTTTGAACCTAGTTAACTCCAGAACTTGCCAGTGTGCCTTAGCTCTGTCAGGAGGCATGTCACTCCCGCCGGTCTGCTGTGTGACCAAAGACAAGCACTTTCTGTTCTCTGAGCCTTCGCTTCCTTATCTGCAACAGTGGGCTGTCAGTCCTTCCTCTAGAAAGATTGAATGAGGTAACTCAGGTGACGGTGCCCGCCCAGCCCATTGCCTTGCATACAGTGAACACTCGGGATCTGTCAGTACGAGCACAGAGGTGCGCTGAAGTTTGCCTCGATCGTAGCTCAGAAAAAGCTCAGCAAAAATAGTAGTTGAGCCCCCAGATGGATGGGAGGATCTCTGGAAGGCTTCCTGGGGGAGGTGTCTCTGGAAAGAGATTCTTTAAGCAGAGCTAGGTAGTGAACAAGGAAGGCATTTCAGTAGCGCAGCAGCAGCAGCAGCAAAGGCAGGGAGGCCAGGGACCCTAGCTGTGGCCCGCAAGCCCCTGACCACACATGTCCATCTAGGAAACCAGCTGCACAGGGCACCGGGCCAATAAGGTGCTGTTTCTGGGGAACCTGAATAAGCTGCTGTCCACGGGCACATCCCAGTGGAACAACCGGCAGTTGGCGGTGTGGGACCAGGTGAGTCTCCCGTGCAGCCCCGCTCTGCCCCTCACTGTCGCCTACAGCTGAGAGCTGGCTTCATTCACTCACTCGTTTGTTCATGCCCTTCCTCGTTGCCCAAGCACGTACTTAGCAGAGCCGGCCGGTGCTAAGGGTGCTGGGATGCAAACTGGGGGGCTGCTCAGACTTTGCGCATCTTCTCGTTTGAGGAGGGAGTAGCCATGGTGTGGGGGTCACAGGGAGGTGGCTGCTTCAGGGCCAGGACAAGGGGTGGGGGTGGGAGGAGAGAGAGAGGAGATGTCCTTCTGGACAGAAGGAACAGCTGGAGTGAGGGCTTGGAGGCAGGTGGGCAGGAGCAGCAGCTGAGGGGGTGAGGGTAAGGGCCAGGCCAGGCACTGCAGGAGCGCTTGGCTAGAGTTTCAAAGACTAGACAAATCGCTTCCTCTCTCTGACCTCCTCTTCCATCTTTTACAACAAATAATCAGACAAGCAGGGGAGGGGTGGTGTGCGATCAGGGGTGTGAGAGGTGATGGGTTGGAGGCAAAATGCCTGCAGGATAAAAGGGGGTGGTCTCTCTCCCTCTGTCTCCTTCCCTCTCACATGCATGCGTGTGTACACACACTCACCCAGAGCCCCTTGGCAGGGATTCCCATCTCCAGGAACACCACTGAGGAGCTCCAGGAGTGACCCACAGGCCTTCCTGGTCTCCTTTCCTTGTAGGACAACCTGTCCCAGCCTCTCTTCGAGATGGACCTGGATGGCTCCTCGGGCGTGCTGTTTCCGTTCTATGATGCGGACACCAACATGCTCTATGTGGTGGGAAAGGTGAGCCTGGCGTGGGAGGGAGGGGGCTGCCTGAGCCCCTGAGGCAGGGAGCAGGGCTACCCCAGCCTAGCCCTACCACTAGCCAGACAGCAACCAGGGGCCCTGGGGGTTCAGGCCAGGGAGAGGGATGGGCAGGGCTTTCTGGACACTGTCTCCCTGCAGTGGGCACGTAAAGTACCCTGTCCTACCATCCTGGCTCCCAGGGAACACCCAGGGCCAGGGCTTTGGTCAGACACCCCAGGCTTGTCGCTCCTCAGATCTGGGAACAGATGAGGAGGCCCCATCGGAGTTTCTCAATAGGGGTACCTTCGAATTTGGGCTGGAGCAGGTTTTCATTGGGTAGGACTAACTGGTACTTGGCATCGTAGCTCCTCCCCTCCAGTGCCTGGAGCAGCACTCCGTCCCTCTCTCCTTTCCCCAGTCACTAGGACAGTGACAACCAGAAATGCCCCAGAAGTGTAAGATCACTGGACAGTCTCAGGACCCACCACTGCTGACCTTTTTGTGCAGCTGGGAGTGGGACTCAGGCCTGTGCTCCCAGAGTTTCTGCCTTGGAGGCGCATAGGTGGGCTTTGGGTCATGGTTGGGAGAATCGAGTGTTGAAATGAGGACCCCTTGCTGCTTTAACGGCAGTTCCCTGGTGTTATCTTATGTGAGGTGTTTTTGCCGGCCCTTCGGTCACTGTGAATGCCAGGTTTCTGCTGCATGGCCGCGGGGGGCCCTGAGGGGGTGGATAGGACCCGGCTCTTGAGTTGTACCCTCCTCCTCCTCAGGGAGATGGAAACATCCGCTACTATGAGGTGAGCGCCGACAAGCCTCACCTGAGCTACCTGACAGAGTACCGCTCCCACAGCCCACAGAAGGGGATGGGTGAGTACGGAACGCTGAGGACACGTGGGGTCTGGGGATACAGGAGCGAGTCAGATGAGGGCCCCGCCCTGGAGAGGACCCCATTCAGGAGGGCAGAAGGTGGATCAACGCGGACTCCATGGGAGCTCTGATGGAGGTGTGTAGGAGGTTCTCTGGGAGCAAGCAGCAGGAAGTCGAGGAAGGCTTCCCAGAGGAGGCAACACTTGAGGAGCCAAAAGGGGAGCGGAGCACAGCATGGGGAGAGAATGAAGGCGTTCTAGGCCGAGGTGGGGCAGTTACAGCAGCAGCCACAACATAAGAGAGACTGACCTAGGAGAACCCCTACTCTGTAAGTGTATTTGGGAATAGAAAAAAAAATGAAAGAAGACACGTCTCTATGTTGTCTGTAAGAAACCCACTTGAACATGAAGACACAGCTAGATTAACCACAAAGGGAAGGAGAAGGACACCATGGTAACACTCATCAACAGGACACAGGGGCAGGAGCTCTGTTCAGAGCAGCTCGGGCGCAAGCTGAGGGGGAGGACCAAGTCTGATTACTCCAACCCCATTTCCCCAGCACAGGGGATAGGTATTTGCTCATGAACTGTCTATAGACGGAAGGGGGGTGGGAGGAGGGTGCTCTCTGCTCATGCCCAGGTGTGCACTCTGGCTTCGCCCCTCATCCTGGGTCCCTGTGACCCCAGCCCAGCCAGAACCTCTGAGCCCTCCTTGGCCATCTGCCCACAGGTGTCATGCCAAAGAGAGGTCTCGACGTCACCTCCTGCGAGATCTTCCGCTTCTACAAGCTGATTACAAGCAAAGGCCTCATTGAACCTATATCCATGATTGTACCCCGGCGGGTAAGGGTGGTGTGGCCATCTGTGAGGGAGGTGGGAGCCCCTTCTGGAGAAGACGTGCCCTGGGAGCTGGAGCCCGAGCCCATGCCCTTAGGGTAGCAGCAAGGAGGCTGGTGGCTACTCCTCAAGAGAAAGGCCTTTCTCATTGTCAATGCAGTGTTGCTGGGAGCTAAGGGCCCTGAGACCGAACCGTCTCTGCTCTTGAGTTGCTATGTGACCTTGGGCATGTCCCTTTGCTCTCTTGGCCTTGGTTTCTTCAACTCCTAGGTGGGGAAATCCTGGACCCCAGCTCCCTTAGGGCCCTCCCATCTGGGCGGCCCCTTTGCCACCTCAGTCCTCACTCCTGGCTTCTCCTACAGTCGGAGTCTTACCAAGAGGACATCTACCCACCTACGGCAGGAGCCCGGCCCTCTCTGACAGCCCAGGAGTGGCTCTGTGGGATGAATAAAGGTGAGGGGGGCAGACAGAAGGCCCCGTGCAAATGTGAGGTGAAATGAAGTGTCCAGTAATCCCAGGTAGCTGAGAGGGGTTTGGCCTACAGTTGGATTCTCCCATAACCCCTTGTCCTTGACAGTGAGTCCCCATTGGCTAGGATGGTCCCATATGGGTCCGAGAATGGAGGGCTTGTCCTAAGTGGCTCAGGAAAGTCTTTCCAAATCAAGGCATTTTGCTCCATGGAACACTTCTTGAAACTCCAGACTGTGCAGCGTGCGTGGGTAGTCTCGGCCCCAAGCCCTTGCCCATCCTCCCATCCCCACCTTTGCAATTACTTTTCAGCCTAAGAGACCCTCTAGGCAGCATCTCCCCGCTGCCCACCCCCGCCCCAGGCCCTTCCTCCCTGTGCTGACACCCTCCCTGCCCTGTCCACCTAAGGGCTACCCCAGAGGAGGCAATGTGTGCTCTTGGCCCCACCCCAGTGGCTGCCTCTTCCTTTGGGTGACACTTCGTCTGTTCCTCTCTAGACTTCTCGCCTCTTCTGGCTACTACCTTGGCACCCACCCACCCGCCCCACCCCCCGCCCAGCTTCTCGGGGCTGTTGGGAGGATTCATGAACTGGTAGAAGGCAGAACGCAAGGCATACAGGACTATCCCTGCAAAGCAAGGACAAGTCTTCACTGGAGCCATTCGCAGTGTTTGGGGACAGCTGCACGGCGTGCACGCAGCTGCCCTGGCAAACCAGGCCTCGCTTAGATGATCCCGTGGGGATGTGTTTGCAATCTGGGTGCCCCAGTGTGGGGGCTGGTTCTTGTCTGCATGCGGCCAGAGCTCCACTCCTGTCCATCTGCTCATGAGCCCTCAGTCCTCACACGGCCCTTTGCTTCCCTCCCAGGCCCAGTCATGGTGTCCCTGAGGCCCTGCTCCGAGCTCCTGAGCCCGCAGCCACTGCTCCCAGAGACACCCCCCTCCGTCTCCATGGCCCCCTCCAAACAAACAGACAAGGTGGTTGTAGAAGATGGCCGGAGAGCCTTCTCCCATCTGGAGGAGAAGGTGCCCAGGCAGGGAGCAGCAGAACACAGGCTGAAAGAGAAGACACCTCGGCTTACCAATGGCTTCGACATGGAGTGTCCCCCGCCAAAGACAGAGAACGAGGTGGGAACCAGGGGGTCGGTGTGTGCACTGGGATGGTTGGGAGAAAGTGAGTGGTGAAGACATCCAGCTGTGGGGCCTGGCCTGGCCTCTTGACTTGCTTTGTGACCTCATTCACCAAACAGGCAGTGAGCGCTGTGGTCTGCCAAGATGGCGGGTGTATATCCAGATGGCAGAAAACTGTCTTCAAGATGCGGAGAGTTTGATTCCGTATTAGAGTCCCTCCCAGCTCTGACCCTGGGATTTTCTGTTTTCAGAGTCAACATTTCTTAAGTGCCCGCCATGTCCCAGGTCCTGTGGTAGGCACTATGGCTTATGACCTGACTGAATTTTCTCCTCAGCCCTTGGGGGTCAGTTTGTAGTGGCTAAAAACACAGGGGCCGGCACCTCACAGAGGAGTTCTGGTCCTGCCTCTGCTGAACACTGACGGGAGGACCTCAGAGCCAGGGGCTGAATCTCTCTTGGCCTCGGTGGCAGGGGATGGGGGAAGGGGTACTTACACTACCACCCCATAGGGGTGCAAACATCCTCAGGGGAGCAACCAGCATCTGCGACGGTTCCCTACACTGCAGTGATGACGCTAACGCCCAGGTTCATCTTCTGACCCCTGGGTTCCTAGAGGAGGAAATTAAAACTCAGAGAGGCTAAGTAACTTGCTGAGGTCACATCATTTAGCTAGTTTAGTGGTGAGAACTGTAGCCTCCAGACTTCAGGGCCAAGCATCCTTAACTCTATCCCACAGGGCATCTAAGGAGGCAAAAAAAAAAAAAAAAAAAAAGTCTGACACATCGAGTCGTTAAGACTTCATTTATTGGGTGAAGAAATGGTTTTATAAAGTTCTGTGCAACGTCCACTCCCTTGAGCCTCCACGTGTCTGTGTGGAAAGGGGGCGGTGGTTTGTCCTTCCCGAGGGTGTTCTGGCCCCTCACATCCGGGGCCACCGCGTGATCTCTCCCTCTGTTCTGTGCTTTCCCAGCTGCTGCAGATGTTCTATCGACAACAGGAGGAGATCCGAAGGCTCCGCGAGCTGTTGACCCAGCGCGAGGTGCAGGCCAAGCAGTTGGAGCTGGAGGTCCAGAACTCGCGCATGGGCTCACAGAGGTTCTGAGCAGAGCGCGATGCCCTCCCCGCCCTCAGGGACACCACTCAGATCCATGGGGAGGTCCAGAACCAAACCACAAGTCCCCCAAGAACAACCACTATTTCTATATTTTTTATCAGAAAACGAAAACTCTCGGTTGCTGGAAGATTCTAGTGGGAGGGGTGTGGTGCCGTTTTCTACTTGCCTTCTCAAAACAGGTGTCTGAATTGACTCTTTTTAGACAACAATTTGCCTTCGGTTTTGTTCTGTGTTTAAGGGTCCATGGCGAGCTGTCACTTCTCCAGGGAAAGAACACTATAAAGTTAGAGTTCGAAGGACCCAAGGGGGGAAGCTGCCTGTGATTTTCAAACTGTCCACAGGGTGGGAGGAAGCCTAAGCAGGAGGGCTGTGCCCCCCACCCCCACCCCGTTCCAACCAGACAGCTCCCCTTCTTTCTGATTTATATATTGGCTTCCATGGAATACATAGTTCTGTTTCTGAAAAAACATTGAGAAGTTTGAAAAGCAGTGATCTGGCCCAATTCCTCATTTTACAGGTGGGGAAACTGAGACCCAGAGAGAGATGAGTGACCAGGATCCACAGAGGGTTCGTGGAAGGGCTGGGTCAAGCTTCTGGTCTGCTGGGTCTGTCTTTCTGCTGCTCCCGGTCTGATGCAGCTCTCAGCCTGCAGGTCAGGAATCTGTTTATTCTGGGTTCAGCAGTGACCTCTTACAGGTCCTTCCCTCTCTGGTCTCAGTTTTTCCATCTGAACCTGGGGACCCTGAGGTGTGCTACCCTCTACAGGATCTGCCACCTTCTGAGACGGAAGCCGTGGCCTTGACCTGAGGAAAACTACCCATAGCGCAATGATCTGGGTCGGCTGTAGGAACTCACAAGACATTGGTGAACCAGCAGAGGAAGTTTAACTGTGGGGAAATAAGTCAGGCTTTGGCCCAGTACTAGAACACAGAGAGGAGGCCCACACCATCCTCTCTTCAATTGCCATCAGCCAAGTGTGGGCAGACACTTATCTCTTTTGTGGGGGAGCAGATATCAGGGTGGTTCCTGTGACCACTGACGGCCACCCTGGAAGCCCTCAAGCCACAGAGCCTGTCTGCTCCAGGATAGAGGCAGGTAGATTTTGGTCTATGAGGTAGGGAGCCCCAGCACTGTGGCATGCCTGCAGAGCCCTGTGGCCACCCCCTTCTGGAGAGGGATGACTGCACTAGGGAAGGGAGTAGGGTCAGATGACCCTGAAATTCCCTTCTAGCCTGAGAGTAATATGTCCCTCCCTTGTGAATCTGTGTCCTGCGCCCATTCGCTAAGGTTCTTTCTCAGTGGCCATTACACAGCCGAGCTAGAGATGGAGAATGTTGGAAATGAAATGAGCCCTGATGGGATTTTGTCCACTGCACAGGGCAATCCTGGAGCTAAGATGGGGACGGGAGGAGGCCCCACCGCCTGGTAGGTTTCAGCCCAGGCTGTACGTGAGAGTCCTCTTAGGAGGGTTCAAGAAATACCGATGCCTCGTCCCAATCCCAGGCCAGTTGAAGCTGAATCTCTGTGTATATTGTTCTGAGTTCCCAGGTCATTCTGCAGTACAGACTGGAGAGCCACTGAGCTGGCCCATCTGTACCTATCTACAGTAGAGATGAGGACAGCGAACGTCAGACCGGCTCTGGGACCTAACCCCCTCCTCTGAATCCGGGCTGGAAGTGTCCCGTGTCTCTGTGGGTCCCCTGGCTACAACTTAATGAGGGCTCTGTGACCCCGAGTGCCCCCTCCCCTAGCCATGGCTTGGTCCCCCTGTCTGCCTACACACACCAGACACCCGCGTCCTCTGTCTTGTTGACTTGTCCCTGGGGCTCACCAGAGGCCATGTCCCAGGCGTTGTGAGGGAACAGAGCCCCTGTGTAGGGCTGCCTCTCCCACCTCATGGGCAGTCAGCTCTCCACAGTTTACAAAGCCCTTCCACCTCCACTCCCTGGCATGTCCAGCTCTAATTCTAACCATGGGCCAGGCGAGCATCGCCCCCCTGCTCAGAATGATGACACTATCCCCATGTCATTCTCAGAGAGTGAAGAAGGATCACTCCCACAGGCACTGGCTGCAAACAGCCGGAGTTTGGGCTGAGTCTGGGGCGCCTCCCAAGTGCTCCTCTGCGTAGAACCTTCTCGGGCTCTTAAGGGACCCAGACCTCATGCTTAAAAACAATGTGAAGGCATCTGTGAACAAACTTGTTTTTTGGGTTTGCTTTTTTTTAAACTAGAATAAATTATTTAAATTATTTCACAGCAAGGGAGAGGGATAGGTAATTTTTATCAAATATTTTTTTAAGCCATTTTTTAAAATTGCGTTTTTGTTTATGTTCTTGACTGATGAAGCAGAGGTTGCCCAGCATCTGCAGGGCCAGGCCTGCACACTCAGGGCAAAGCAGAATGTGCACTCATCTCTTTACTCCATCCTCCGGGAGGCCCCTGACCGTTGACTCAGGAGCTTCCTGAGAATGAAGACAGCACCGGGAGATGAGCGCTGGGGCGTATCCACCTTAGCTCTACAATAAATGTTCTTCCTAGAACTAAATCTAAGATTGTATCATAGAGGGAAGAAGGAAATCAAAAATAGATCTATGCTTTTAATATGAAACCGTGCCTGAAATAGTTTGATTGTTTTAATGTTGTTTCTGAAATTCCTTTTACCTTTGTAAAAAAAAAAATAATTAAGAAATAAAAATGAAAATAGATATGAAATCGTGCAATGGAAAGAATGTACCAAAATAATAAACAACATCTGCCTAGACATTTTAATACCTGGAGCTTTCCTTTTCTTGATTTGTTCTACAAATACCAATTAAATTATCTACTTGTTTGGACCAGAGACCAGGCTGGAAAACAGATAAAACAGACTTGGTCCCTGCCCTCTGAAGTTTTTAAGTCATGCTTGGAAGGAAGATGAGGGCCAGGTTAGGGGAAGTGTGGGCTGCTCTGGGTGAATAAGCAAGGTGGGCTTCCTGGAGGAGGTGAAATTTAGGCAGATGCCTGAAGGATAAATAGAAGTAAGCAGGGCAAAGGGTATTGGGGGAAAAGAGGTCCCAAGCAGAAAAAACTGCCTATTCCTGGTCTGGAAACAAGCAAAAAGTAGAGCATAGACAGGGCAGGGATCAAAGGTATTAAGAGCCAAGGATAGGAACTGAGAATTTTTTTCCAACTTTATTGAGATACGATTGACAAAAGTTGTATATACTTGGATTGTACATGATTTTTAAAAATGTACAATGTGATGATTTAATATATGTATACCTTGTGAAATGATTACCATCAAGTTAATACATTATCTCACATAGTGTGCGGTGAGAACACTTGAGATCAACACGCAGAAAATTTCAAGTATAGTAGTATTAACTAGAGTCACCAGGCTGTACCTTAGATCCCCCAAACTTGGGCGTCGCACAACTAAAAGTCTACTCTTTTCCCCCACCTCCAAAGCCCCCCGCAACCACCATTCCACGCTGTTGCTAGGAGTTCAACTGTTTTGATTTTGTTTGGGGTTTTTTGTTGTTGTTGTTGGTTTTTGTTTTTTGATTCCACATCTATGTGAAACTAAACAGTATTTGTTTTTCCTCCTCCTGGCTTATTTCACTAAGCATAAAGTCTGCCAAACTCACCCAGGTGGCAAATGGCAGGATTTCCTTTTTTGGGTCTGAGCAAGGTTTCACCGTATATACACACAGCATTCATTCAGGGACGGACACTGGTGGTTTCCACGCCTTGGCTGTTGTGAATAACGCTGCAAGGCACCCCGGAGTGCCGGTGGCTCTCCCAGATACTGACTTTGTAATCTTCCTGTATGTACCCAGAAGGGAGATGGCTTGATCATGGGTTAGGTCCATTTTTCACTTTTGTGAGGAAACTCCATGGTGTTTTTCAGGTTGGCTGTACTAATTTACATTTGGTGGAGGCTGAGACAGCCTGGGGCGATCGGAGTTTCTAGGATTCTGACAACTGGGGGAACGGTGATTTCTCCCGGGGAAAGGGCAGAGAGAATCAAGGCAAAGTGGATCCGGCTGCGGTCACCTCCCAGGCGCAAGGCCAGGCCCGAGCCTTCCACGCCGCGGAAGGGGCCGGCGCAGGTCGGGCTAGAGCGCGGCCCACGGGGCCGCAGGGCGCCAATGTCGCCGCTACCCGGGCCGGGCGTGCGCAGCGGTCCTTCCTGCGGGAGCGGGGCCTGCCCGGAGCCAACCCCGCCCCGCCGCCCCGCTTTCGATTCTCCGCGGGAGCCCCTCCCCCGCACCGCGGCCGCCGGGACCCGAGGGCTGAATGGCCAGCGCAGGTGCGCGGAGCGGGACACCTGGGGGGCCGGGAACACCTGGGGGCCCGGGGCCGCCGGAGCGCGAGGACGCAAGCGGCTGGCGCTGCCCGGAGCATGGCGACCGCGTGGCCGAGCTCTACTGTCGCCGCTGCCGCCGTTGCGTGTGCGCGCTCTGCCCGGTGCTGGGCGCGCACCGCGGCCACCCGGTCGGCCTGGCGGTGGAAGAGGCGGTGCACGTGCAGGTGGGGACCGGGGCGGCGCGCGGGGGGTGCAACGGGCGGGGAGGCGCGCGCAGGGTTGGCGGCCGGTTCCTGGTTAGGCCTGGAGCCGCAGGGAGGCCCACCTGTTGTTGCCAACGATCAGTTAAGCTTCAGAAGAGGTGGGTTTGGGAGTGAGAACTTGGGCGCCCTGGCTGATACGCAGATGTCCTTGACCTCGTCCACCACACTGCCCTTGGGCTGGAAGAAGGTCTGCCGGTGAACACCGATGAAAAGCCGTACAGACACCTCTGGTTTTCTCTCCCGAAGTTCACAGTCAGGGCCTGAGGACTGCTTGACTGACTGTCGTAGGAGCGGCCTCCAGCCATCCACTCCTGCCCTTCCCCTCCACCCTTCCTGCCACCGCACTTCCCTTCCAGGCATTTAACAGCCTGGTGGGGAGCTGTGTCAGCCATTTTATTGATAAGAAAAAGGAAAACTGGAAGCTGAGGCTGCCTTTGACCCCAGGATTCCACAGCTGGGTTGTCCCCACTGGCTTCTCATCTTGGAGCCCTCACCCGTGCATAATCCTAATAGTGGTCAGGGGCTCTCAACTCTTGTCCTGGCCTTGAGGACAACTTGTTCTGTGGCTCTGGTCAAATCTTTCTGCCCCCCTGGGATAGGCAGGCCCTCCTGTCTCTGACAGATGTAGATTCTACCACTTCCTCCTCCAGGAAGTCTTCTGTGATTAATGACCTTTCTCTTCACATTGCGACAGCCTTGGGGCTGGATAAAAATGGGCCCTGTGGGAGCTGGTCCAGTTGGTGGAGTCCTGGGTTTAAGGCCCGCCTCTGCCTCCAAGGTCTTCCTTTTCTTATCTGTATAATGGTTGTAATAGTAATAGCTCCTCAGAGGCTGTTTCCAGAGTTCATATGGCTGCTTTCCAGAGATAGGGCTTGGGTGTCTCATAGGTGGGTCCACCCACCTACCTACCTCCCCGCCTACGTACTCATTTTGTGTTCACACACCTACCCACTCACCTGTTTATCCATCGTCCTTCCATCCACTCATCAGACATCCATTCAGCACATACTTTGTGCCATGAGCTAAGGAATAGATCGATTCTTCCTGGATCTGGAGGTGTTCCCTGGCTGGTGGGATGAGAACAGATGGTGACAATATAGTGTGATAAGTATTGTAATTGGGAAGCTGGAGAGAAGACAGTGTGAAGTAGGAAGAGGGAGCCCAGGAAGACTTCCTGGAGGAGTGCCACTGGAACTGTCCTTGAAGGCTGAGTAGAATTTTACCAGGTAGCATTGACAGGAGAAGCATCCTGGGATTGGAAGGCCCAGACACCAGGAGGCTGGGCTCTCTTGGGGTGATGGACAGCATTTAGACTTGAAAGCTTAGAAATCACAGTGGGGTAAGGATGTGCTCCAGGAATTTGCGGCTGTAGCTTATACCTGGGCTTCCATTGTGTCCCCACCCTCACCCACCACCTAGAATACAACCACACACAGCAGCAAATGCTTGTTGGATGTGACAATGACAGCTAACAACTCTGTTGAGTACTTAGTCCCTGCCAAGCACCGCACTAGGCACTCTGTGTACTTCTCATTCTCTATGGCAACGCTATGGGGTTAGCTCCAGATTTATCGCTGAGAAAACAGGCTTAGAGAGGTGAGGTCACTCGCTCAGTTCCCATGAAAGGGACTCAGACCTAGGAAGTCCTGTGTGACTCAGGCTGGTGCTCTTCATAGCTTGCTGGGTGGCCCTTGCTCTCCACTTGAAGCTGGCAGCCCTTGGTCACTGTGTTCGATTCAGCAAACACTTCTGGGTCACTCCCTGGTCCCTGGGGGGGAGCCAGGAATGGAGCAGGCCTGCCCTCAGGAAGCTGTCGGTTGGCTGGGCAGCCAGACCTGGGCCCAGCAGCTGAGTATAAGGCCAGCCTGAAGAAAGTCCAGATAGAGGTGAGGTCAAACCTGTGGGGAAGAGGGTCACAGAGCCCACCCGTGGAAAAATGGCAGTCGCAAAACAGAGACATATGGAAGGGAGCCATTTTAGGTGGGAGGGAGATGGGACCATGAACCCCCACAGGCCTCACATGTGCAGGTCTTCTGAAGCCCAGTCCAGGCCAAAAGCCCACATTCTTTCTGGAATGTATGTTCCACGCGGGCAGGCCCTGTGACAGGGCCTGGCACGTAGCTGGTGTTCAGTTAATAGTGACTCTATAAGTGAACACTCTTCCCTTGTCCCCAAGCTGTTTGCCTTAAGGCCCTATTTGAGAAAATCGGGTCATAAGTAGGATTATTCTAGAAAAAAGGGAGGGGAGCATCAAGGTTTGAAGAATATCTGACATGGACTTCCGAGGCTCAGAGGGACCCTTGTTCTAGCTCATCCTCCAATTTGCCTGGGCAAATTGACTCTGGGCCCACTCATCTCACCTTGAGTCTCAGGTACCTCAACTGGAGCAAAATTCAGGGGTGGGAGATGCCCCTCGGGGTAGCTTGTTACCTTAAAAGTCACAGAACTAAGTATTAATTTTTCCTAACTCCTTCACATACAGAAACTCATCCAAGAATGTTTAAAGCAGCTGGAAACCAAGAAGCAGCAGAACGTTGGCAACATAACCCACATAGAAGACACTGCCGAGAAGCTCAAGGCAAGTGGACATTTCTTCTTTTTTTTTTTTTTTTAAGATTTTATTTATTTATTTGACAGAGAGATCACAAGCAGGCAGAGAGGCAGGCAGAGAGAGAGGGGGAAGCAGGCTCCCTGCTGAGCAGAGAGCCCGATGTGGGGCTCGATCCCAGGACCCTGAGATCATGACCTGAGCTGAAGGCAGAGGCTTTAACCCACTGAGCCACCCAGGAGCCCTGGACATTTCTTCTTTATTCTAGTTGAGATATCCGCACTTCCCCTTGGACGCAAGGCTCTCCTCAGTGTGGAGCCAAGGGTATATAAAAAGCTCTAAGGGTTTTTAGATCTGGTTTGGTGGCCCTTGGGACTTCCAGAACTTAGGGGCCTCTTTTGAAGAAAAAGAACACAAAATCAGGTGTAAGGCCATGAGGGGCCGGGCTAGTGAGGAGCTTGAAGCTTGTGGTGTTATGTTGTGTTGTTGTGTTGTGTTGTGTTGTGTTGTGTTGTACCTGAAGCCTCTGTGTTGTTAGCTTGGTGAAGATCTGCCTCTGTCCAGTGCCCTACTCTTGCCCCATAGCGCCTCACAAAATGGAGGAACAGCCTTTCTTGCCACCTGCCGTCACCGCCAAGGCCATTCTCCTAGAGGGACTAATCGTCCATCCCCTGCACCCCAAGTCACCTTAAACAAAGCAAAATGCAATGTAAAGAATGTGCAAATAACTCTTTGGGTGCCAACTGCTTCGTTGAAAGAAATTAAATAGGGTATAAATATATTCCAAAAGTAAGTACTTTCTTTAGGCTCCTCTTTTCACAAAATTGTTTCTTTCTTTCTTTCTTTTTTTAAATAATTAAAAAAAATTTTTTTTTAATTTTTTTTAAGATTTTGTTTATTTATTTGACAGAGAGCACAAGTAGGCAGAGATGTGGGGAGGGGAAGCAGGCTCCCTGCAGAAGCAGAGAGCCCGATGCGGGACTCGATCCCAGGACCCTGGTATCATGACCTGAGCTGAAGGCAGAGGCCTTAACCCACTGAGCCACCCAGGTGCCCCCAGAATTGTTTATTTAAATGGATTCTTTTTGGGCTTGAAATGAGAAGTTGGGACTGATACAATTGTGAGCTGCCATTTTACTCTAAAAAAGTTGTGCTGGGTTTTTTGGTCCTTTTATGTGAACTGAGCTGGTCCCTTCCCCTCTCAGCCTCGGCTGCCCCCTCCTCGAATGGGGGCTGGGGTGGGATGCCCTCCCAGGGCCTCTCCCCCTGAGGGCTCTGTGAACCCTGGACCGACCCCCACAGTCAGAGCAGAGAGACTGGCACCCAGGACGTCCCAAAGCCAGGCCCGTAGCAGAGGGGAGATGCCGAGGCCCAGGCTAGGCAAGGCAACAGAATTGGTCCCCTATTGGCCCAGCATGCTTTGTCTGTGGCTGCGTGCCCCAGCGTGCTGGGGACAGTCGTGGTTTACACCTGGGGCCCCAGCTGCATTACTAACGGTGTCCGTCATGTCTCTAAGAACATTTCTCTGGGGCTCAGGTAAATACGTCCATTGGAAAAGATTCAGGAAGGGATGGGGGAGGTGCTTTGGGCCGTTCAGCCAGAAGAACAGAATCGGGGTACAGAGTCACTGTCTGCGGATCTCTGAGCAGATTTGGGGGGCCCCAAGGAAAGAATTAGGACCCGTGTGCAGAGTCTAAGCGGGTCACATTTCAGCCTCATCTAAGGAATGGAGTTTTCTTTCTTTGAACCTTTTCCCCAGCTTTAAACTTCTATTTTGAAATAAGTACAGATTCACAGGATGTTGCAAAGGTAGTGCAAAGAAGCCTCGGGTACCTTTCTCCTAGCTTGCCCCAAGGGTTAGAGCTTACCTAACTCTAGTGCCGTGTCAAAACCAGAGTTGACAGCGTGTGTGTATAAAGTCCTACGTCAGTTTCTCATACAGGTAGATTCGGGAATGCAGAAGGATTCCGCCACCACCAAGACCTACCTCGGGCAACACCATTAGAGTCACCCTTCCCACTCTCCCCCCAACAGTCTAACCCCGGGCAATCACACATCCGTTCTCTATCTCTGTCATTACGGCATTTAAGAATGTCATAAAACCGGAATTATACGGTGTACGACCTTTGAGATTTTTTTCACTCAACCTACTGCCTTCAGGATCCCTCCAGGTTGTTTTGTGTATCAATCGTTCATTCCTTTGAATTGCTGAATAATATCCCAGCCATCTGGTAGTCCAGGTCGGCCAGTTTTTGTTTTTGTTTTTGTTTTTGTTTTTATTTGAAGCTTTCATCTATGTTAGGATAGTTTTGTTGTTTCCATTTTGGGGCTATTACAAATAAAGCCGCTTTGAACAATCGTGTATAGGTTTTTGTGTGGACGTAGTTTCCGTTTCTCTGCAATAAATGCCCAGTGCTGGTTCTATGGGGCTTGTATGTTTAGCTTCTCAAGAAACTGCCAGAACATTTTGCAGGGTGGCTGTGTCATTTGACATTCCCACCAGCCATGTATGAGACATCCAGTCTCCCTTCATCCTTGCCTACCAGCAGTACTTGCCTGAGTTCTATTCTAGCCTTTCTGGAAGCTGTGCAGTGGTCCTCCCTTTGGGGCCTGCATTTGCGTTTCCCCAGCAGCTATGATACAGAACACCTTTCCATGTGTTTAATGGCAGCTTGTCTTTCCTCTTTGTTGTTGTTATTTGTGTTTTTTGTTTTTTACCATTTCAGGATTGGTTTGTCTGTTTTCCTGCTGCTGAGTTTGGAGACTTGTCTCTCTGAGCTAGACGGGAATCCTTTGTCAGGTCTGTGGTTTACAAATATTTTCTCCCAGTCTAGGGCTTGACATATCATTGCCTTCACAGGGGCTTTAGCAGAATAAAAGTTTTTTAATTTTGAAGAAGGCCAGTTTATCCTTTTTTTTTTTTTTTTTTTTTTTTAATGGATCGTGCCCTCGGTTTCATGACTAAAAGTACTTGGCCTAGCCCTACATCCCAAAGATTCCTGCCTTTTCTTTGGTCTAAGAGTTTGATAATTTTATGTTGTACATTGAAGTCTGTGATTCTTGTTGAGTTCCTTTTTTGTATAAGGTGGGAGATTTAGCTCAATTCTTTTTTTCTCTTTTCTTATGGATGTCCAGTTGCTCCAGCACCATTTGGGGAGAGACTGTGTGTTCTCCATTGAATTGCTTTTGTCGAAAATCAGTTGGCGCTGGGAGCCATTGGTTGCTGAGCACCAGACAACACCACAAGAAGGGTGCCTGTCTCCAGGACTCCGAGCCGCCACCTGATCACTTCCCTCACTGTGTTACCAGCCTGGCTCCTGGGGGCATTTATGTTTCCATCCCTGGTCAAGAAACAGATATTTAAAAATTCAGCCATGCTTAACTCTTTATCAGATATGTCATTTGCAAATATCTTCTCCCATTTGGGAGGTTGCCTTTTGGTTTTGTTGATTGTTTCCTTTGCTGTGCAAAATACTTTTATTTTGATGTAGTCCCAACAGATTATTTTTCCTTTTGTTTCCTTCACTTTATGAGGCATATCTAGAAAAATGTTGCTATAGCTTATGTAAGAGAAATTACTGCTGTGCTCTCTTCTAGGATTTTTATGGTTTCAGGTCTTTAACATTTAGGTCTTTTTTTTTTTAAAGGTCTTATTTATTTATTTGACAGAGCGAGAGGGAACACAAGCAGGGGGAGTGGGAGAAGGAGAAGCAGACTTCTAGCCCAGCAGGGAGCCCAATACGGGGCTTGATCCCAGGACCTTGGGACCATGACCTGAGCAGAATTCAGGCAGATGCTTAACAATGGAGCCACCTGGGTGCCCCCATTTAGGTCTTAAATCCATTTTAAATTTATTTTTGTGTATAATGTAACACAGTGGTCCAATTTCATTTTGTCACAAAGCTGTCCAGTTTTCCCAACACCAGTTGTTCAAGAGACTATTTTTTTCCCATTTCATATTCTTGCCTCCTTTGTCATAGATTAATTAACCATATAGTTGAGGGTCTATTTCTGGGCTCTCTGTTCAGTTCCACTGACCTATGTGTCTATTTTTGTGCCAGTACCATACTGTTTTCATCACTATATGTTTATAGATTATTTTGAAATCTGGGATTTGGGTACCTCCAGTTTCGTTCCTTTTCCAAAATTGCTTTGGCTCTTTGGGGTCTTTTGTCGTTCCATACAAACACATAAAGAACTTAAACAACTCAACCCCCCCCAAAAAAAACCCCAAAAATCTAATTAAAAGTGAGTAGAAGACAGGGGTGCCTTGGTGGCACTGTTGTTTAAGTGTCTGGCTTTTGGTTTCCACTCAGGTCATGATCTCAGGGTCATGAAACCAACCCCTGCGTCAGGCTCTGCACTCAGCAGAGAGTCTGCTTGAAGATTCTCTTCTTCTGTTCCTCCCCAATGGTCCTGTATGCACATGCTCGCTCACTCTCTTTCTCTCCCCCGCAAATAAAATCTTTTTTTTTAAAGATTTTATTTATTTATTTGGCAGACAGAGATCAGAAGTAGGCAGAGCGGCAGGTGGGGGAGGGGGAGGCAGGCTCCACGCTGAGCAGAGAGCCCGATATGGGGCTTGATCCCAGGACCCTGAATCATGACCTGAGCCGAAGGCAGAGGCTTAACCCATTGAGCCACCCAGGCGCCCCTCAATGTTTGCTTTTTTAAGATTTATTTGAGAGAGAGAGAGCATGATTGGGATGAGAGGCACAGGGAGAAGCAGACTCCCCACTGAGCAGGGAGCCCTATGTGGGGCTCAATCCCAGGACCCTAGGATCATGACCTGAGCCGAACCAGATGCTCAACCATCTGAGCCACCCAGGTGCCCCTGAATTTTTCAGTTTTGAGGGTCCATGAGCTCGGACTTGAGTTCTTCTCAGTAAAGTCCTGTCATTTGGTTTATTTGTTTTGCTGGTGACTCTTTTTGCCCGTGACCCTTGATGGATGACAAGATTCCTTGCCCCTGGGGTGCCTGGGTGACTCAGTTAAGCGACAGCCTTCAGTGAATGAGCCCCACAAAGGGC